TTTCTCAGGTTATTTGCTCAGCATACAAAATGAATACGTATGGTGAACGGATACAACCCTGACACATTCCCTTCTTGATTTTAAACCTTGCAGTGCCCCCTTGTTCTGTTTGAATGGCAGCCTCTTGGGCTATGTACAGGTTCCTCATGAGTACAATCTGGAATTCCTATTCTTCTCAATGCTATCAGTAATTTATTATGGAGACTAGTTTGGGAAAATCATAGGGAAATTCATTTTCAGGTAGGAAGAAAACTTATAGTACTCACTCCAGGGAAGCAATTTGAGAGAAAGCTCTGTACATATGAAAAGGAAACAGGAAGTTAGAGTAAAGCAGACAGTTATGAAGAACAGAGAAAACAGTATCATCATGACTGGGATACAAGGCAATCTTTAGGAGGAGGAGGGGACAGGAGCAGCAAGCACTTCCCCTTTTAAAAGCTTTCCCACCATGGCTGTTCTGTTTCTTCATCATAAACCTCTCTTTGCCTGAGATAATCTGAGTGAGTCTTGGCTCCTTGTGTTCTAAAGAGCTCTCACAAATATGAACCTATTTGTTATGAATTGAATTGTGTGTCCCCCACCCCAAAATATATGTTGGAACCTGTGGATGTGAGCTCGTTTGGGAATAGGGTTTTTTTTGTTGTTGTTGTTATATTAATGGGCCATATCATTATAGAGTGTGTAGTAAACTTAGTCACCTCTGAATTATAAAAAGCATGAACTAGAATTAGAAGCAAACATATTCTGGGGAAGACAGATGCCATGTGAGGATGTTCCACAAGCCAAGCAGCCGAGAAGTCTGGGCTACGGACAAAGAAGGAATAAACATAGCTGAGACTCTGATTTGGACTCCTAGCCTTCAGAGCTGAGAAAATAAATTTCTGTTCTTTAAAATAATAATATAATCATAATCTGATCATGTTAACGGCAAATGTCACCATGTTAACTTTCCCCTCACCCATTAAAATACTGAAGGGGTCTTAAGTATCTCCACTGCTCTTAGGACAAAGGACAAAGTTTTAATATGGTCTAAAAAGCCCTGAATGGAGCTCTGGTAGCATAGTGCCTAAGGCACTTGACTGCTAACTAGAAGGCTGGCGGTTCAAACCCACCAGCCACTCCTCGGAAGGAAGGTTGGGCAATCTACTTCTGTAGTAATACCACCTCGGAAACGCAAGGGGGTCGCTATGAGTCGGTCCGACTCTCCGGCACATAACAACAACAGCAAAAAGCCCTGTAAGGTCTCCTCCCTCCCTCCTCCTCCTTCCTTCAAGGCCTGTACTTAGCTTTCCAGGCTCCTATCATCACACTCCTTTCCCCCTCCACATTTGCATTCTAGTTATCCCGAATGGTTTTCAATTCCTTATGTGTCACATTTCCTCCTGTTTACTGATGAGGAAACTGGAGCTCAAAAATGATGTAAGCTGCTCAGAGACACAAAATTATAGCAAAATAATCACTCTAGTACCAGAATCCATGTTTCCCTTTTTAAATACAATGACTCTCTCTTTGCTGCTTCTTTGTTGAGAATGCTCTATCTGTTGCCTACTTCATCCTTCAGATCTCAGCCTAATTGCCACTTAGTCAGGTAAGCCTTATTGGGCTTACTTGTCTAGGCAAAGCTCCTTATGCTTTCATATCAACAGTTGTAAACTCACCTTTATTAGCATCATTCATCGATTAATGTCTGTTTTTGTTAACAGGCTCCATGATGATAAATGCCATATCTGATTTTGCTTTCCAATCTACTGCCAAACTCAGACAACATACTAGACATTCAGTGGATGGATGAATGAGTGAGTGAATACATTAGCCAGGCAAAGACAGGCCTAGACAGAAAAATAGAACGTGTGAACTGCTCCAAGGTCAAAAAGGATTGTGAGAACCGGAGCAAGTGAGAGAGAGACTAGGCATTTGTAAGGATTTTGGGTAAATGGTAGTTACTTCCATTTTTTTGGTATTATGGTTAGTTTATCAACTGCTACATTGCTAGCATATTACCAAAAGAAAACAATTTAAAATCTGTACAGAGGCATATTTAGAGAAAGAAATAAAGATATGTAAATAAATAAGAGAAGTAGATTTTGGTAGAACTGGGAGGCATTACCTAAACTTTTAAGACAGATATGCTTATGCTGCTGGGGTCAGAGCCTGTATAAGATTTGTTGTATAAGCACTGGCAAGAAGGCCCTTAAAGGTACTTTGATGCCCATGAAGCCTGGTCCTTAGTTTAAAAGTAAGGAAAACATCTAGACTTTCCACATACAGAAAATATTCAGGAGAATTTGGGGGAAGTTAAGGAGTTGGTATGGAAGTCCTGGGTGGTACAAGTGGTTAAACTTCCTCACTTGGAGGTTCAGGTCCACTCAGAGGCATCTCTGAAAGCCTGGCATTCTACTTCCAATCAGCCATGGAGAACTCTGTGGACCACAGTTCTACTCTGACACTCATGGGGTCACCACGAATTGGTATACATTTGAAGGCAAGTTTGATTGTAAGGAGTTGGTACAAACAGCTAATCATTTACCACTTAGGCCACAGACTAAATCTCAAAGCGCAATTTGAACACAGGACTTTCTCATAAAGAGTGGGTAAGGGAGGGTAGGCATTTGACTGCTAACCAGAAAGCTGGTGGTTCACACCCACCAGCCACTCTGAAGAAGAAAGACTGGGCAATCTACTTCGGTAAAGATTTACCGCCTGGGAAACCCAATGGGGGTAGCTATGAGTCAGATCCACTAGATGGCAGAGGGTTTGCTTGTTTGTTTTTTTTAAAACAGACGGTAGTGATAATGGGCAAAATTAAATTCTGTTGACACTTTATACGTCCAAAAGAAAGATATAAGAAAACCATGCATTGGAGTGTCAGATTTTGCATAATCAGGAAAGGCTGGGTGTATGTGTGTGGTGGCAACTGGAGGTTGAAGTTGTTGTTGTTGTTGTTATGTGCCATGGAGTCGGACTGACTCATAGTGACCCCTCCTTGGGTTTCCGAAGCGGTATCACTGCGGAAGTAGATTGCCCGGTCTTCCTTCCAAGGAGTGGCTGGTGGGTTTGAATCTCCAACCTTCTGGTTAGCAGTCAAGTGCCTTAGGCACTAGGAGGTTGAAGGTTGAATATAATATATTAAGACTAGGAACAGTGGGAGATAAGAGCTGCAGGACCGTGACCCAGATCCTGCAGGGGCAGAATCTCAATCTCTGATGAATTGGAAGATTAGCAAGTATGAGGAGGTCCCATCTTAAACCATCTGGGGTTTACGGCACGTGCACTTGACGTGAAATTCCAGCTTCCAAAATTCTCTCAAGAGCCTGGACTACCTCACCTTGAGTTGTGACTATGAATAGAAATAGCCTTTTTTTTTTAAAAAAAAAAAAAAAAGGAGTGTGTACAAGCCAATACATTTTTTTGCCTCCCTTCTCCATGTGCCCTTTATAAAGCGCAAACATAAAACTTTTCAGTACCAGCCAGGTATGCTCCTCCCCTCTACGAGCTTCGCTTAGCTCTACAAGGCAAGCATCTCCATCTCAATCTGGATCTACAGATTTCCTTTAAAGTTGCCCCTACAGGCCAATTTGCCCGGGGGATACCAGAGGCGTAGGGCAAGGTGGGTGTAGGGCATCTGCCGGACCTGCAAAGATACCACAGCAGCTGCGGCTACCGCGTGGGCAAAAGGCACACCGCGGTCCTACTGGG